AATGAGAATTGTAAATATTTAATTTAATGTATGGACACACAGACATTTTTCTGTATTTATAATTTGTCCTAAAGGGACAACAGTCCCAGAATAATAAAAAAAAAAAAATTTCATTTTGTATTTTTCAAACAACCATCCGCCATCAGTAGGATTCGAAACCGAGACCTTGGGCTTAGGTAGTCAGTGGCTTACTTACTACGCTACTCCTATGCTTTTATATACATAAAGTTAGATATTTTATGCAATATACCTAATGATATTTTATGTAATAAATAATTTTTTAAAACATATAAAACTTTAATTATAAAACATAGATAATTTTTTTTTATAACTTTTTTATAATTTTTTTTATTACAAGTTAAAATACATTCAGTAAATGTGAACAAAGGAATAAATAGCATGAAATCACTTGTTGAGAAGCTACCTACTGGTAGCACTCTAAAAATGTATTTACAAAAGGAGATCTCGAGGCCATCTTCTTTTCAGACGCCTCGGAGGGAAGATAAATTAAGATTTTTTTTTTACATCGTCCATATTTTGTTATTTTAGGATATATATAATTTAAGTTTATTTTTATACCTTTGTGCGTAAATACACATACATATTTAAGGACGGTTGTGTAACATTCAATTTAAGATTAACAAATTTACTATATTATTAAAAGTACATGGATTGTCATACCTCATCCTAGATTTCGGGGCGGCTCATAGTTTTTCTTGCAACATCTATTAAAATATATTGTCTATTTGTACGTAAATAGCATAGCAATACATAATAGTCATGGCAAGACAAGTAAAATAGAATAAAGTTTTGTTGGAATCGTAAATATTGGTAAAACTTATGTTTTGTTTTATTCAGCTATAGATGTCAACTTTTTTTTTTCATCTATATTCCGAAATCTGTTGGTTTTTTGTGACACCAGTCTATAAAAAATTAAAATAAATTAGTGCTCCACATTTTATGTGTTTTAAGTTTTTTTTTTTCTTAAAAAAAAAAACCGTTAAATCGTTTAAGCACAAATTTTCAAAAGTTGGTTAAACTCAGCTTATCGCTCAATACGTCTGGATGGATATGCTAAGGAAAATATCCATGTACCCTAGTGTTTATTATACTCGCTCTTTAATTTCGCACAATACATGATATGCAACATAAATGAACAGTATAGCTAGTTTAAAAGTTTAAATATTAAATAAGTTGAAAATTTAAGTTTTGTCTTATTAAAGTAAGTCACGTTCTTTGTTACATAGTAAACGTTAAACAAATAAATGTTGAATTTAGATAATTATGAATTATTTCATAACACGCTAGACAAACTTTACTTTAAACGTATGGTTTGTCTTTGTTAAAATCATATAAAAAACAGCCTTTAAGCGGTTAAAGTATGATATGCTCTGTTTTTCATATAATCATTGATTATTTGTGATTTTCTTTTATTACACTTTAACTGGACTAAATTTACCCTACATTTAGAGAAAAAAATCCTTGTTTAGCTTCATATCCATATTAATTAAGCTGAGGATTATTATGGAAGAATTTGAAGTTGAAGATTCACCTCTTTTGTTTTCATCTATATTCTGAAATCTGTTGGGTTTGTTTAGACACCATTCTATAAAAAATTAGATCTCTACATTTTATGTGTTTAAAGTTTATTTTTTCTTCGAAAAACTGTTAAATCGTTTAAGCACAAATTTTCAAACGTTGGTTAAACTCTGTTTATCGCTCATTACGTCTGGATGGATATTGCATGGAAACTACCCATGTACCATAGTGTTTACCACACTCGTTGTTTAACTTCGCACAATACATGGGATGCAACATAAATGAACAGCCAAGCTAGTTCACTTTCGCCTCTCCCATTCATGTGGAAAGTTCTTACAAACCCTGGGAAACGCTTGTAAATCTATAATTCTAACACGCCATATTTTGTCCACATTGATTATCTTTCTATCATTTGAGATTCATCAATCATTGTTATTTATTGTAAATAATATTATAGTATTGGTAAATGTAACTAAATTGATCTATACAGGATGTGCCGTAAGTGGAAGGAAATATTTAAAAGATAGATATCAGACATCAAGATCTATAAAAAAGATATAAAAAATTGCCCAATTTCTAGCAGGGAAGTAGGAAATTTAAGATTTGTGTTTTGTTTTTTTTTAAGCGTGACACGGTTTTATTGAATAGGAAACTATAACTAAAAACATATTATATTTAAGTAATTAAACATTGCTTCGTAATAAACTAGACAAAATTTACTTCCAACAAAGCAGATTTTGTCATTTATAAAGCCTTTTAAAGAGGATAATTCAGCGTACAAACTCAGCCAAGTTCGGTATATAATAAAGTCATAAATTATTTACATTTACCCCACTTTGTCACCCCACGGCAAACTTTGTCTATATAATTAAATACTAAAAACTCGTAAATACCCATTTGCTTTCTACTTGAATCGTAAGATAATTTTTTTGTAGCATTAATTTTTTTATTCACACCTGTCATAATGGTAATGACAACCAGTGAATGTGAGATCAATTGTTAAATATAATGTCATGAAAGGCATGAGGGAGATCAGTGCCCAGCGGCACCTCACTCGGCGTGATATCTTCATTAGGCGAGGAGGTCTCTCATCCAGCTCCTCTTCAGTCTGTTACAGACGTTACCTGGCATATCCGTAGTGGCCATGTCATTTATAAGTGTATTAGAATGTCCTTGTAATTTTTCATGGAATCGTTTGTAATGAGTTCGTATGTGTTCGTTAACAGTCGGCATATGGAGGAGGTCAGTATGTAAGGTTATGTTGCTAACCTACCAAGATGCTTTTGTAATTGTTCTGAATGTTTTTGCTTGAAAGCGTAAGATAATTTGATCACAAAATCGATAAAAAATGTGACCTACAAAATATTGGGCCGTTTGTATGTAACCTACGTAACCTCGTTATTTTGAAAAGTTGGGGGTGTAGGTCACGCCAAACGGCTCAATATTTTTTAAGGCCACCTTTTTTCTTTACTCAGAAAAGTTGAAAATTTAAGTTTTGTCTTTTTATAATAAGTCACTTTGTTGTTACGTAGTAAACGATAACCATATAAATATTGAATTTAGATAATTAATAATTAGTTCATCTTTGTTAAAACCATTTAAAAAACGCCATTTAAGTGGTTAAAGTATTGTGATTTTTTTTTATCACACTTCAAATCGACTGAATTTATCGTAAATCTAGGGGAAAAAAATCCTTGTTTATTTAGCTTCAGAGATCCATATTAATTAAGTTGAGGTTTATTATGGAAGAAGTTGAAGATTCTCCTTTAATTACGTAAAAATATTAATTAAAAGCTCTAGTGGTCTGCTATCACTCCTTTGAATTTAAGATTTATTCTCGCTTGTCATTCTGGCATGTTTAACTTCATCATGGCCTTTTTTTAATACAAAATCATATTTTTTTAAAAATTTAATGCAAAAAAAAATCGGACTTGGTAGTCGACATAAATCAAAATCAGATTTATATGGGCGTCGTTGGAATTTTCCATACCAGAGGGAGAGAGGATAAAGAAGATATATTTACACAGCTCCTATCTTAGTCATTTCGCTATAATGGTCGCTATTGTTCCGAAATATCAAACAGGAATGTACTTCTCATGTATTTTTGTGTACTTTATGAAGTGTATTGTCAACAACTAGGAAATCTTTCTTAAATAACTATAAACCGTATTTATGCCACTTTTGGGAATTTGGTCCCTTTCTAGCGGCTTAAAAGTTAATCGTAGAGAATTTTTTTTTCAAAAATGTTAATTTTATTAATTTTAAAATTGCAAATAACAGTCTTCTTGAAAAAAAAATAAGGTGTGTGTTTTATCAGATGATAAATGTGAAAAAATCAACAAGGCGAGATTGATAATATGAAACATCAATTATAAATAGTAGGTCATTAAAAGAGGATGAAATGGCGAAAATTTCCCTCGCTAACAATATGCATGTCCGATTTTTAGTTTCTGAGATATTTTAATCCATATCTTCAATAAAACTCGTTATCATTTGGTTTCCGACACGTTTCCAGTCCATATTTTGTCACAAATAAAACCATTCATAAAGAATGTTCCCTATGTCGCTGATTTAGCCCGGGCCAGATACCTATCCTTTCATGATAAACTCCAGTCCCATCCGAATCCACTTGTTTCCTGCCTTGCTACTTCCTCGATTCCTGATAATCCCCACAGGCTCCTGAAAAGAAGATGACCACGTGATCTTCTTACCTAGAATTAAATAGGAAGTGCTACCACTGCGCAGTATCTATTCAAGTAAAAAATGTGTGCAGTTTTACCAGTTATATTGTTTATACAGTTGTAAATTTCATTAAATAAATAAAATAAAAAAAAATCAAGTGATTTGTTTCTCTACGTTTCGTTCATCAATGGGTAGGATGTTTCTGTTTTATTTGATCTGCTCGTAGGTCAGGGCACTAATGGATCCAGGATTTAATTTTGGGGGGCTCCAGCCCGAAAGATTTTTTTTTCATATACATATAACGATAATTAATTTGAAAAAAAAGAAATTAATTAATTACCTATATGATATGGTGTTCTTGAAGTCCTATTAAATTAATTACACGAACAAGAATACTTTACGAGATAGTTTTTAATACTTTTTTCTGTAAAACATGGTTACATTTTACCATTTTGGGAAGAAAGCTTCAGCCCGAAAGCCTCCCCCCCCCCGTAGATCCGCCTGTGGGTCAGAGGATCTAACAGTTAAATTTTAAATGCTCAAGAGGAACGGCCACCCAACATATAAATATATATATATATATATATATATATATATATATATATATATATATATATATATATATATATATATACATAGTTGTGAGAAATTATACATACCTTGTGTATATTTCACTTGTGATAGTTTTTCGACGTCTAGACAAGCCGGTGGGTTGATGAGAGCGACAGGTCGCCGGGTCAGCTGAGTCGATAACAACGATGAGGGGAAAATTCCCTACGATGAGGGAATGTTTCCCTTTTTCCCAGCTGCAGTGGGCGGTTCTCTCTCTGGAGCCTCCAGTGTCTGGTGGGGGACCACCGCAGGCATGCGTGTCTGCCCAGTGCCGTCTCCGCTCCCCGAGGTAACTTAGCCCTCAATGTTCGTCTGTCGGTCTGGCATACATGTCCGCTACATTATTTTATGTATCCAAAAAGTACATCAGTAACGTTTAAAAAAAATACAAATCTATGGAGCGAATTTTGGTTTAATTTTTTTTTTTATACAGATAAATACATATATACAGTGCCTGGAATTACATCGATATCAACCTGAGGTATAATTGATGATTTCTTGAATCATTCTATTTTATTTTATAAGCATTTAATTAAAAAAAAAAAATTATATACATAATTATTTTCTACTTCAATACTACTCTCAAGGGGAAGTTTCGGGCTTGGGATTACACTGTTTAATGAAACTTTTTTTTTTATTATTAAAATATTAGACTCATGTCATATGGTTCTTGATAATCCGCCCTAGTAGCCGAGAAAAATTATTTTTTATAATTTTTTTACGTTCTATATTCAATTGTCATCTGCGTTTTTACTTTATTTGAAGTGTATATTATTAGTTTTTAATTTATTATAAACATGAACTAATTTAATACAATCAGCGAAATATTTTTCTTATTTTATATAAAAATCAGAACAATTCTATTGATATATTATAAACTAGAAATCCAAACAGAACAAAGACATATAACTATAAAATAAAAAAATATTTTATTTTTAAAAAAACGCATGTAGAAACACATTGGCCAAAATCCCCCAAAAAATGTTTAATTGAAGTTGTGATATATTTCCTTAGTTAGCCCCCTTTTGTCAGTCATATGAAGTAGGCAGTATGTTAATCCATAGAAAAAAAAATTAATTTTAAATAATTTTACGATTTGGAGAATATTAATGTATATTTTCGTTTCCCTTATTTCTGAACACCCTGTTATTTTGTAATACGTACGTGACCATTTACGATAACTTTAGTTAGATTTAGTTCGAATCGGGAAAAACGCAAGGTCGTGTGAATTAGCTATAATATTTTAAAGCCATTTGAATTAAAAATAAAATTATATAATTTTAAAAAGGTTTTGTCACTGATATGTATAGTTCAATGTTGGGGAAGTTTAATATAATTCGAGCGAAAAGCAAAGTATTTTTTATGATTCATATAAAAGTTCCAATCCATTGTATAATAATTCGAAATCAAAATCGATAAATTTAGGCAACTCGTTAATACATTAAAAAAAATGATAGTGTATTCATTATTATTTTTATATCTTCTTATTTATTTATTTAATTTTCTTTTGTTACAAACCTAGATAAAATTTTCATCACACCCAATAACACAATATCTTTTATTCTTTTTAATCCAAAGTCTTAATGTAACCACTTATATGTTATATGTTTAAATAATTAAATTGTAATACTGAGAAATTTTAATGTATGTGAATTATCACGAGGTAATTTGTTAAATAAAAAAAAAATCTTTAATTGAAAACGACTATTTACGATTAAACCTGGAATTAAAAATATATATATATATATATATATATACATATATATATATATATATATATATATATATATATATAATTTCTGTAATGTGATTAGAAAAAATAAAGTAAATAACTTTCAAATGTTAGAATATTTATGCTTAAAAAAGTAAGAGGTTTTTGAGATGACTTGAAACAATAAATTTTTCATTCAATTTTTTACATCTTATTACTATATTAAAAAATACTTGCATTTAGCGTCATTTTATTTTTTCCAACATATTACAGAAAGCGTATTTTTGTACAAAAGTCTTTCTTAATCAACAATTTTTTTTTCTAAGATAAATTATTAATTTGCATTACCGTATTGGGTTTTCCGCTATAGCAGAAATTGTCGGTTTTACTATATAGGCTTTAAATGACGAGCAAATTTCTTAACACTTGTTATTGTGATATGTTATTTTATATTTTAAGATTAAAAATTAATACAATGCTTAATTACCTTAATTTTAATAAAAATTATTCAAGTTTTATTGTAAAGAACGGTTATATTTGAAATTCGAGGCTGTTGTTAGAATACCGGCTGGTACTGCCAACGAAAGAAGGAAGTCACAATGAAGACATACTGCGATGGTTGATGTAGATAAATTGACGCTTGAGAGGATTTTAGGATTGAAATAGTCAGGCGCAAATATATATTTTATAGACAAAAAAAAAAAAAAAAAAAAAAAAAAAAATTCATGTCATTGAAATAATTAAGTATAATTTTATGTTAAATAAAATCTAAAATCCACATGATAGAAGTGAAAACATTAAAAAAAACAGAATTAATAATAATAATAGTATATATATATATATATATATATATATATATATATATATATATATATTTGTTCTATATTAACAAAGTAATAACATTTACAATATATACAATTATGATTATAAATTTTGAGATATTTTAGTCCAAATATTCATATTATTTGTTTTTTTAGCGCCATATTTTTGCCTTTCTTAATATCTAGCCCGGCGTTATGTCAAAATACCAAATCAATTATAGCTCATTGCAAACAGGATGAAATGCTGATAATTTCTCTCGCATACGGTTTGAATGTCCGCTCTTTAGTTTCTGAGATATTTTAGTCCAAAAGCAAAAATTTTTCATTTTCACTACCCACAAAAGAGTGTTAACTGGGCCTAAAGAGGTTTTCACTTTAATTGTTGTGATAATAAAATTTAATAATTTTTTAACTATAACCTTGAACTTGGAGAGGTTGCTAGAGTTATAAATAGGTTATTTGATCATTTGTTTGGTCTTTTTAAATGGGTTTTTATTTTTATTTCTCCCCTCATATAATATATTATTTTGGTTAATTTTATATTTTATTTTAGTATTTAATGTAGCTTATAAAAATGTTTTCAATTTTTAAGTAAAAACTACTACATCTAAGTAGCATGATATACGATAGTCTAGAAAAAGGCATAGTCTATTCTTTTTTATTCTATTAAAAATTATTTATAATCCCTGTTACAGAAAACTTTTTATCAAATTATTAACATCCATCTCAAACTTTGGCTTCATCTCATCGCAGCCTACGACTATTTTATTTAAGAAAAGTTGTTTAATTAGGTACAAAAAAACTCGTATATACCCACTTTCTTTCCACTTAAATCGTAAGATCAACCTCGAGATCAACACAAACTCGAGAAAAAAATGTGACAAAATGATTGGGCCGTTTGACCTATAAAACATCGTTATTTTGACATTTTGGGCTGTAGGTCACGTCAAGCGGATCCAAATTTTTGAAGGTACCTTTCTTCTCTATTTTATGCTCAAATTATCTTATGATCCAAGTGGATTGGAAACGGGTATTAACTAGTTCTTAGTACCTAATTAAATAAATGTTGACGATCTCTAGATTGAAAACGCCCTAATCTCGAGAACTTCCATAAATAAAATAGTTGTAGAATACGATGAGATGAATCTATTCACAAAGTTTCAGGCGGATGTTAATAATTCGATAAAAAGGGATCTGTACGTCGGACTAATAACTTTGTATAGTGTGACTGTTGAAAGATCTTAATTGATAGATTGCTGTTAATTTTATAACTTTTTAATATAAAATGTGATTAACTAATACTTTATTAACTACCAATAACCGTTATTTATAACTGTATTGAATAAATAAGTATTCATTGAGAGCGAAGCGAAGCCCGATAGTTTGTTGGCGTACAATTATAGCTTTGCATAGCTGCTTTCTTTAAGCTATTTTTGTATGACCCGGATCCGGATTTATTTGTAGCCATTTTCTTCCTAAATAGGTTAGTATAATTACAAATTAATCAATACAGGCAGTTATGTAATTTCATATGTTTATATTAAATGAAAAGTCGATTTATAAAAATATATTAATATCAGTACATCGATTAAGTTAAAAAATCAGATTTATCCAAGTAGCTATGAAAATAGATGTACATAACAAAAAAAAATTGAAATTTTATTTACGATTTTTAAGGACCATTAAGCTCATTAAATAATTTACAAAACTTGTCATTATTTTCTTCGTTACTTCGAAGTACCTTTTGTCTTCCTAAATATCGTACTCCTTCTATATATTATATATAATTATTAAATATTATATATAATAAGCACATTTTATTGATAATATTGACTTGACAATATTGGCGGTGTAAAGGGGGCTTTAAGACTCGATTTCTGTCGTACTCGAGTATATTGTAGTTCTGAGTTGAGAAGAATATAACAAAAAAAAAAAAAAGGTTTCTGGAGTGAGGGTATCAAGACACAAAATGGTATAATCAGTTCTATAATATTATTTTTACTATCAAACCTAACGTTTTCGACGAAAACTTTTCGTGCATTAAATCTGAAATTCTGAATTTATTTTTATTTTTAATTGTAAAGAAGGGCTTTACTTGTAGAAAACGATAAGTGGTTTTAAGTAAGAGGCGAAAATAATGACATATTTTAAAAATTATTTTTTTGACCTCGGAAACCAAATAAGTACACGAAAACTTTTTATTTTATATTATTCGTGTACATATATATGACGAGTAAAATACCTAATCCTGTGCAATAAATATATTTTTTATGAAGATATGAAGTTGAGCAAATTAGTCTGAAACATTGTCAAATACGTTGAGAGTTAATTAATGTATATTAAAAAGGGTTAAGTTTTTTTTTATATTATTATACAACAATTAACTCTTAATTGACATGAAATGTTATTATTTTCATTAATTACATTCATAAAATGTTGGATGGTTTACTGATAAAATTTTCTTAAACCTTTAACTTTATTCTAAAAGGATTAATTTTTATTTTACAATAATATGCGGTAAAGTCATAAAAAGTATATCGATATTTTAAACATAAAAATATATATTTTTATAAGATACAAACGATTAAGGTTCTTGGATCCATTAGTAAATGAGTATTTTTTTTTAGTATTGTGTTGAATGAGTTCTAGATCAACGATAAACGCAAGATGATGTCGGCAATCATGCCTTAACTCTTAATTTAGTATTATGTTATGTTTTTTAACATCACATGAACTGATATTGGAAGTTTTCTCCCTCCGTTTGTAACATAGCTTCTTGATTTAGGATTCCCTAGAGGTGAATAAATTTTGTATCTACTCACATATGAATGTCTCCGTGTAGTTTTCTTATTACTGCATAAGAATTGTGAATCTCGGCATATATCAATCATATTCCTGTGCAGGAGATTGTAAAAACAGTGTGATGTCCTTTATAGTGGGTTGTTATAAAATTCTTTGTCATTTTGTCAATTACATCAACCAATATTTGTGCTGGTGAAACTGGAAATGTGGTTTTCGAAGCGAAAAATTTCTCACATCATGATTTGACTAGTTCGTTTCAGTCATTCAAAAATGTGCCATCGACCGGAAAAGAATATAACTGGTGCAACAGTAGGATTGTGAGACCATCCATTTTCTTTGGCTATGCGTAAACGATTTACAAGAGTGTTTCTTTTTTCAAAATTATCAGTAAATTAAAGAATTGTTCCGCATTACCAATGCAGAGTAAGATGTTATAGTCATCATAATTGCACGCAGTAATGCTCTGCTTTTTCATATACAACGCGCTCAAAATACAAAATACCATTATAATTCCACCAAACAACACAGCATAAACTTTTTATATATCGATCTGAGGCCGTGATGCGGCGATGTTTCGTATTTCCTTGGATCCTGTCTGCACCAAGTCATTTTATCAAGTAATTTAATTAAGTTATTACGAATAACAATCTGTTCCTCCAACATGTTTGGTGAAATTTGTAAAACGAGAAACAAATTAAAATTCTCTTAAACTATGTTATAAATAGAAAATCCAAACAACAAAGCAATCTCCAAACATATAGATGGATAGTTAACTTGCCAACGTTTCACTAGTTGAGGCATCATCAGGGCAGAAAATTGTTTAAATTAATTTTTACATTTATACCATAATTAGCTTAGGTCTCTTTTCTAGCTTTGTACTTATTTTATAATATTATCGGGAACGTTTATAAATATTTTTTAAAAAAGCACTTTAATAAGAGAAAAAAAAACGGTCACAGAAATAATCATATCCAACAATGTACTTGCATGTATGTTCAAACACATCAGTAATTTTTAAATAAAATACACTTTATAAATATTAAAAATGGTTTAGTAGTGCAGTGCACTTCAACACAAATTACGACGCCTCGTAAGTATATTTTGTCTCATATACCGGTGCATGACAATATTCGAAAGCGTTTTGAATTTTGTTTGGGGATGAAAGGAACCCAATCCGGGATTTTTCCAGAAGTTAAACCAAACCTATCTTAATCTTAACTAAAGTAAAAGGGTCGAGGATGATCCCAAATGTCCTCCACGAAATATATATTTACCTGCCCAGGTTCGAACTGGTGCGGCGCTAGACTCTAGAATGTTAAAGCGTGGAACGCCTTAACTCGCATGATGGCCTCATAAGTATTTCTCCCTAATGTTTGTTAAGAAATAAACCAACTTAAGTCCTGCATACACTGAGTTTATCTATAAGTTCTTGTGCTCAACAATGCTTTGATATTTCGAGACTTGGGCAATCCACCTCAATCTTAGGTGCGACTTATTATAATGAAACACTTTTCACTTTTCTCATAGCCTGCTCACGCGAAGCACTACCGAAAGAGAAATCGATAGTTTTCTCCCAAGTTCGATTGTGTGTGACTATCGATTCCTCATCTTGTAGCCGTGTTAGTTAATGAATGCAGACTGCCCTGCCTAACAACCGTGCAAAGATTACGCTCTCGTTTTAAACACATTTACTTTCTTACTATTACTCAGGCATAAATTAATTTAAACTCATTCCAGCTAAGGAATTATTTAAGTAAAACATTTTAAAAAGATGACTTTCTAATGAGAATTTATTTTAATTAATTACGTAATTGACTTAACCGTTATGATTGTTTACTGCCAAATAGAATCGAACTCCTTTTATTAAGTCAGATTCAAAGTTAAATGTCTTAAGTGTAAATCTAAATTAGTTTTGTAAGCAACTACTAAGATGAGAGTGAAATATCTCTGGAGAGATAGCTACGATCTTTGAACTGCTGTAAAATTCAGGAGGATATTCATAAGCCTGGCTTCATCTCCCCGCGGGGGCTTGTCCTAGAATACTTGAGTAGCAATAATCATTACCTTAGCTCGGCCCCTGCTCGATAAATATTAAACCTGATATGCCATAGCTTCAGATTGGCATTTAGGCATGACGTCTTGTCTCAAGTGGTGTAGTATCCCTAGAATGGGACAAGACCCGATCATCTTTATTTTAATGAATAGAAATATATTATTTTGTCGAGTTTTCATTAATTTATATCAAGTTAGAGATAAAGAAATGAGATTTATTGGTTGAGTCGTTTGCCTCCAAAGTGGCTCATAATCGTCACTGGCAAATTTTCAGGAAAGTCGAAAACCAATATTTTCAATTCCGATTGTAATATAAAAATTAATATTTATTATAAAATAAATTATGAAATTATTTTAGCACATATTTCCGAAAATCACTGAAAATTTAATATTAATTTAAAAAAAACGCTGCAAATTATTTCACAATGGTTTATTATTTCCAAACAATTATACATCTTAAGTAACATTATCTTTCTAGTTACAAAGAAAAATGAATAAATTGTAATGAAAATTACTGGACTGAACTTAATCATTAGTAATCTGCTGAAAACATTAGCATTACTTCAGTAAGCATTACTTAGCATTCAAAAATCAAAAACCAAAACAAACGATTTTAACGATTTTTTTAGGAAATTCCTTAAACTTTTAAACCATATACAATATCAACAAAAAAGTGTATACTTTTTGAGTTATACGGAATCTAATTTTACCATCCCTCGTAACTTCTTTTCCGGCTTCTTTTCGTTAAAGTATGATACATAGATAAATTTAAAGGGCATCGAGAAGAAGACTTTAACGAAGTTTCATTGCAATCGGTACATTCGTTGATACAGTCTATAGCAACTCAGGTTTCTCGGTCGCCATCTTGAAAGGAAAAGGCGGATAGAAATGTCGATGAAGGAGGATCATCTTCGGGTGACCTCTAAAAGAAAAAAATTATTCGTTTCTAGAATTCTACGTATCCTGAAACGTGAAACCTCAAATTTTGAGGGAAGTTTTAGAATTTTTTGTTCGATTAAAATGGGACATTATTGAAAATAATAAACCAAAAAACACTTGCGGTATTGAATATAGGACAGTCTTGAATAATGTTTTCGACTGTTCATTAAACATTACAAGTCTTGTTGGAGATTCAAGTTCTCTTAGTAAATAGGCATGTGAGAACTCACAATCCTTAATTCCTGGAGTGTCTGTATAAAGTTTTACATTTCTAACAGTGGCTTTTTATTCCTGCTAATTTAAATTATTTTTACTGCTATGTATTCTTCCATATTTCACACACATCATTATATGTTCTGAAAAATATCCTTTTTCAAATTATGATATCGAAAATATTAAGACTTATTATTACCTAAGTCGATAACAAGAAGTTACATAAGAACTTGGATATTCCGCTTAACTGCATTGATTAAGGAACTATTAGACGTGACTTCCTGATATGCAAAGAAGCTTACGAATGTGTCTGGTGGTTAATATTGTATGCTGGTTAGGATTGAAGAGGATTACAGATGATTTACATGGTGGCCAATCTTGATGTCAACCTGCCTTGTTGAAGACAATGTTGAACTTTGTTGATAGGTTGGTGGTTGATGTCGAAAATATTTTTGAGGTATGTCAAACTCACTTGATATTACCTCATTATTTTATGTTGACAAGATTGATGAGATTGATCGTCTTGTATGGATTTAGCAAAATCATATGTTTGTGTGCAGTGCCTAACACAAATGGGAGCCTTCATCCACCACACACTCCAGGGATCAACATCATTTACTTTCCGCCACAGTCCATTGCCCCCCTAATGACCCCCGATCTCAGACAGCCTCTTCATCCGAAAGTGGCCCTTCGCTTTTACTCTTGGATTACGCCGCGATGTGGAGCAGTCGAGCAGTGGGGCCGTGGCGAAGCAGGGCGTGAAGGAGCGAGCAGTACCAGTCTGTAGGAGGATGCCTCGCCTCTTCAGTGGAAAGCAGGGGTTCAGCGTCGCAGGGTTTCACTCCTTCTTCACAGGTGGGCTCACTCATGCTCTATATCAATCACGCATGCTTCAATTGATCCATGGATAAACCCTTAGCTGTAGGTGTACGAGTGTTGTGAACGCAATTAACTTGGACCGAATGACTCCCATAATTAGCTCTTCCATATTTATGCGGTATTTGTTGAACTGTTCTATCATTAAATTAATATTTATGAAAACCGTCCTACCTTTGTGAAAACTTAGTTTTCTTCGAACACTACATGGATTGTGTGTTTTATTTTTATTTTTGGGGTAAGTCGCTGACAAGGAATATATAGATAAAATGGTGGTTTCACAAACGAATGTGGATTAAGTTGCATACGTTGATATCATCCATTTAAAGTTGGGATACTAATTCCTTTAGTCTACCACTTTTGAGAAATATCTGTGTGTCTTATTCTATCCGGCATTTACTGATTGGAGAACTGGAGGTATTTTTTGCAGTAATTATATATTTTTTTAAATCGTTCTTTTTATAATTTCACCCTATCTTAGAAGATATAATTAAAGATGTACTATTCATGGTCCATCATTTTTATTTAATAAACTCTAATATTATAGTTTAATCTGTTTGAGTTTATATTTGATTAGTACTGATGGCTAAGACTTTAAAGCTTCAAGAAGAATCTGTTAAGAAGATAAAGATTACTGCCATCTTATCCATTTTTGGTCTAGTTAAGGAGCGCTTTTTATAAAATTAATTTTTTTATTACTATTTATAAACTTGGTGACATCTTCTGTAAAATTAACTTACTCGGATTCTATTTAATTGAAGGTGATTACATGCAACGTTGCAAAAGAACGAATATACTAATTTTGACTATTTTTGACAATTTGGGGATGAAGATCACGCCAAACGGCTCAATATTTTAGAAGGCCACCTTTTTCTCTCGGTTTTTTCTCAAATTATCTTACGATCCAAGTAGAAAGCAAATGTGTATTTACGAGTTTTTAATACCTAATTAAATATAAAAAGTTTGCCCTCCTTCAGATTCCTAAATTTTTCATAAATAAAATATCTGTAGGTTACGATGAGATGAAACCATTTACGAAGTTTCAGGCGGATGTTCATAATTTGATCTGTACGTCGGACAAATAACTTTATATAATGTGACTGTTATTTTTAACATTTGAATGAGTAATGAGTAATAATGAATAAATCTTAATTGATGGATTGCTGTTTTTTAAATATTTTTTTAATATAAAATGTAATTAACTAATGCTTTATTAATCACTGATAACCGTTATTTATAACTTTACACCTCCAAATTGTCAAAATAAAGAGTTTGAATAGGCTAAACAGCCCAATATTTTTGTAGGCCAACTTTTTCCCTCGATTTGTGCTCAAATGATCTTACGACTCAAGTGGAAAGCAAATGAGTATTTACGAGTTTTTAGTACCTAATTAAATAGATAAAGTTTGGTGACATCTAAATTGAAAACTCCCCAATTCCGAGAATTTTCCTAAATAAAATATCACGATGAGATCAAGCTATTTACGAAGTTTCAGGCGGATGTTAATAATTTGATAAAATGAGTTGTTTAAACACGGACTAAGATAAAAACAATCTTTTATGCATAATCTGTTGACAGTGCTATCTAGCTTCAACTTGAAGAATAATGATCATTTGGTCAAACGCTCATGTTTTCGTTGGGCCCCTAGATACGAAATTCATAACTCTTTAAACTCATGTTCTTCTGTACATTTGATATCTCACTCCTCAATGTCTTTTCTGGATTCATTTCTATACCAAATCATATCCACATTACTCTTTTATCTTATGTCTGTGCCGATTTACAGATGTCTAAATCCAGATCTTCTGGCCTATATCCTTTCCACAAAACCGTATCATGTTTGTTCCCGCGTAGGATACAGGTTGGAAAAGGGCTTCGAGACTATAAAAGAAGGTAACTTACAGATTTAGAAAGTGACAGAAACGGTTAAAAAGTAGGGTTTTTTTTAAATATTTTTTGAAGGCCCCCCCATTTCTTATCCCTTAGTGCCCCCACTTTTCTCAATCCATCCCTTCTCCTCTATCCACGTGCAAGGTGATCTTTCACTCAACATTTGCCCCTCTCCTTCTATACGAATTTCCATTTCCTTTGCATAGCAGTTCATCGTCCCCTTTCAAATATATTTTATTTTTTGACAATTTTTTTAAAAATTAATCTTGTAACTGAATGAGTAGAATTTTCATTGAGCAATCTTGGTACTACGCCAGCAACCAGACCATTGGATATTGATCTCTGCTCGGCAAGGCTACGAACCTAACCTACATTTCTGTCAGCGTGCGGAACCCGATTAATTACTGATTAAAGTATGCGTTTACGTGAAAATATTTTTTTTTTTTATTCTTCTATTTTAATAAGTGCGAGTAAATTAATCAAGTGCAAATGTTTTCTATTATATTGTAAAACAATTTTTATAATTAAATTTAATATGATTTGTCTAGAGTTATAAGAACATGAAAAATAAATATTAAATTTATTATATTATTCTCTTTTATGACGATTTATTTTTTTAAAAATACGATATTTTCGTATCACGTAATTTAATGTATTTTTTTTTTTAACTGTCCGTTACGAAATTAATAATACAGGCTGAACTAAATAACTAGGTTGAAAATCTGTTTCAGTTATAGTTTAGAAATAATTAGTACATGCTTTCAGTAACTGCAACACTAAAGGACGTTGCCTTCCGACATGTGACGTAAGAAGGATGTTATATGTAACGTTCCTAATAATTATAAGAGATTGCGAACTATCTGAAAATTACACGTACGCAATAATAATTATTCCCTAGTGCTATTGTAATAAAAGCTTAAAACGCAAAAAGAGGATATTTCTGAAATATAGGTAGGTGCTAGTGAATTCTTTTTCTTGCAACATAAGCACTATTTTAAAGCCCTTACCTTTATACTTTTTAAGGGTCGGTGCTCGAAAGCTTAATTTACCAGGATGCTTGTAAGATAGACGGCGAGATTACAGCTGCTTTTTATGTTGAAAAATAAAATAATACTCAAATTTGGTAAACCGTGAAATATGTTTAGTTGAAACGAAAAATACCTTTTTTTCATTGATAATATTTTTTAAGTTCATTTTAGAAAAAAAAATGTAGTGATTCAAATTATTTAATATCTTCGAGAATATTGAAAATTAAACAATTTGGCAAAAGGTCAATTTAGTTTTAAATTGTTCAGAAGGAATATTAATTTAATGAAATAATTTATTGCCAATTAATTTTTAAAAATTATATCCACTGTTTTCTAATCTCATAATTCCTCGCAAAAATAAATGATCATATTTTTATTTTTATTTCTTGATGATATTTTCAACTGTATTGAAGAAATACATTTAGAAAATTTGAATATTTGGATATAATGACGTGAAAGCACTTGTTGAGAAACTAACCAATGGTAGCACACTAATAATATGTCTACATTAGGAGATCACGGATCTTCTTTTCAGACGCCTCAGGGGCTGGGAGAGGAAGCAAGTTTAGAAACTTGAGGATTAGGATGGTTCTGAAGTGTATTATGGAAGGATAGGTATCTGGATTGGGCCAGATCTGAAACATAAGAAACATTAAGGTCATTATAGATGGTTTTATTTATAACAAAGTAGGGAGCATTGAGGATTTACGAAGGAATTTGGATACGAGAGGAATTCGTGGTTAAGTGGAACCTCATAGCTCAACTCCGTAAGTCCAAATAGGCCTTATTATAGTCATGTATATGAGTCTTCTGTAATTAATTAGAAGTTAAGAACGTTTGTCTAGTAAGTGCTGAAGTAATCGGAAACGTCGAGCGGTTTCTTGTCGTTTCAGTCTGGTATGAGTATCATAAATAAATTTGCAAAGCGTCAGTTAATGTGACATAAGTATTTTATATTTGTATTTTTTTTCTTTATAATTAAAGTTTTTTATATTTTAGATACTCTGAATTTTCAAAACATAAATATTTCCAATCAAAATAAAAATAATTAAAATACTCCTTGACTATGTCTGATTTATAAAGTTATAGGCTGATATATTTATATAGAATTTTAAAATAAATATTCTCAAATTTGCTTTTCAAATTTTGGATTCTTAAAAAGGATTTGAAATTATAATTCGATTATGTGCATATCCGGAGAAGCGGTTTGACTATGAATCGTTACTTGGACTAAACTATTTGTTCATCTAGGTTAGATCATTTTTGCGGTAAATTTATTATAGTTCATTATATTTCACAATATATATTCAAAGTGAAGTAAAATATTACTTTAAAAAAAATAGATGGGACCATTAATATTACTTCGATAACATAAATTATACCTTCACGGATGTAGGCTACGACCACCATTAAACAATTTTTCAGGCCACATACAAGATTACCTCCCATTATCATCGATTGGCAAGTTAGGATCTAATGCGGTCGAGCGAAATTATGGCTACTTGAACCCAGTTCCCAGTTAGTTATGTATCGGAACAGTTATAATCAGATAATATATAACTAGTTACATAAATTCTGCTACAATTGCGATGATAACCGGATATATAACAGAAGATGGAAGATGTAGAAGATGGTTGCGACACAGGCTAGCGGAGTATGTGTGAGGAGAGTATATTGGCCACATCCTCTTAGTTAGTAGTTGTGCCGAGCATCTCAACACGTATATAGGAAACATGTATATATATATATATATATATATATATATATATATATATATATATATACATATATAATAGAGGAACGCAATAACGATTTTTATTCTATAAAGAGATACGCTCTTAAAATAGAAGTTATATAAATAATATTTTTTATTTTCAGTAGTATTTGTAACTACAGTAGTGTTTTTACTTTCACTTACGTACATATGTAATATATAGTAACGGTGAGTATTGCGATCGTGAAAATTTTTGAATCTGAGTGTTCAACGGAAAT